TGCCTCCCCCACCCCACGTCTCAAGTCAACCTTTCTTTTCCTCCACACTCTCACACCCCTCCTTCCACCTTTTTCTCTCTAATCTCATCTCCTCCCATTTTCTTTTTTTTTCTCACCCCCCGTCCGTCCCCATCTTTTTTTTTAGCTGATCCTCCTTCATTTACCCTTTCCCCACTCAGTGCTCGCTCCCTGACTAGATGTGTGCATGTGTTTGTGTATGTTGGATGCACATTTCATTGACAAGCTGAGACTATAATGGACTCAACATGAAGCTTTAATCCAATAACAATAGGATCCGTTGGTCAGGAGGCCGTGTGTGTGTGTGTGTGTGTGTGTGTGTGTGTGTGTGTGTGTGTGTGTGTGTGTGTGCACGCACGCGTGCGTGCGCACATGCTCCTGATACACTAAGGGACACTAGAATGTTATGCAAGTAATACACAGTCAATCTGTTGCACACTTGATTGTACACACAGGCTTTCACAGTCAATTACGCACTGTGCACACACACACACACACACACGCATTGGTGTGTGCTCAGTGCGCACACACACACAGACACATGCACATACTGCAGTCTGTCAGAGCCAGGAGAGGGAGCACTGATAGATTTTGAGAGCCACTTAATGTAATCATCAGCTTCAGAGGCATGTGTTTGTGTTTGGCACTGACTGGCTTTGGTCAAGTGAGAAAAGAGGCTGCCGTTAAAGTGTTAGTGTCGCCTAATTCATGCTTCTGTGAACTGTTAACCTATTTGTGAGCGAAAGTGTTTTTCTAACCTTCTCCACACATGACTGAAAAGCTCTTATAATTAGTGGTAGATGGGTCTGTTGGTTTAGCGAGTTCACTGAGAATGCACACGCAGCAAATCACAACTTAAACCAAATGGCGAGATTTATTCACTTTTTTTTTGCTTTCTTCTTACCAACTCTTGTTTTTTCTTTCCTACACTTCTTATCTCTTACTATCCCTTCTCCCCATATCTCAATGCTTTCTGCACCTCCCTTTCCTTTCTCGTCTGTCTACAGAGTAACTCACTTCTGCCGGAAAGTCTCAGGAACTCAGATAAGCGACGCAATGGTCCTGACTTTTCAAATGACACCAAAAAGCGCAAAGTTGATGACAAGGACTCCAGCCACTATGTAAGATTTAGTTTTTATTTTGGTGTTTTTTTTTTTCAAGATTATTGCATAAAGTGCATAGATTTATTCTTTTAACTTGTGTCCTCACTGATGATCTGATTTGCCTCATAGGACAGCGATGGAGAGAAAAGCGATGACAATTTAGTGGTGGATGTGTCGAACGAGGTCAGTTTGTTTTAATATTGTGTTTTTATTGTTTTCAACTTGCTGGTAAGCCAATGCTTAAATACAGGCCACGACGGATGTCAATTCTCTATAAAAATTGTTTTTTATAAAAATGTTTGTTTACTCCACTTTTTCTAATAAGATAAAATATCCCACACAACTGTTGTGCAGTTTTGTTCTTAAGTTGTTTACTGTGTATTTGTTAATCCATCAGGATGCAGCCTCCCCCCGTGGCACACCGCTTCCCTCCCCCAGAGAAAACGGACTGGATAAAGCGCGTCTTCTCAAGAAAGACCCCTGTAGTCCAGCTTCCACTGCTTCATCAGCCAGCTCCTCCTCCCTTAAATCCAAAGAGATGACAGTGGTAAAAGTTGTCATCTGTTTAAAGATATAGTTGGATAGACCCARTAAATGTGTTCTAGTGACACATTTCTTGTTCCTTTCTGTGTGACAGCGAGAAAAGGCAGGWACACCAGGTCTAAAGTCAAGCACTCCCACACCTAGAGGCGACTCCACCCCAGGTCCAAGCTCCACACCTGGAATCCGACCAAGTCTGTCCAAACCCCCATCCATGGAGATACCACATCCTCCTAGTACGTCCACTATAAACATTTATTCTGTCCAATATATTTTTAATCTCTCTCTCTATTTTAATCCAGTATCATTTCTGTGAATTTATTTGTGCTGCTTCACCATAAACCTAATCAAAGATTAGTAGTATTGGGACTGTTTGTGAGCCATTCTCTCTTCCCTCTTGTTTCTTTAGCTGCAGGTTTGAGAACTCCCCTTGCTGTTCCAGGGCCATATCCAGGTGCGTTTGGTATGTTGCCTCATGCAGCAGGGATAAATGGGGAACTAGCTGGTGCAGCCAGTGCTGCAGCCTACGCAGCAGGACTGCACAACATGTCGCCTCAGATGAGTGCTGCAGCTGCAGTTGCTGTGGCTGCATACGGCCGTTCACCTATGGTGAGTAGAAGATTAGAGCTCCTGTCTTTGAGAGGGTTTGAGTGATGTGTGTACTGTTTGTCAGAAACAAGTGACTAAAACCCAATCAACAAAACCAAAATTTAAAGTGCTTATATTATATATTATGTTATGTCGTTCCCTCTTGTAAAACATACCCAGAGTGTTGTTCTGACTCATTCATGCACGTTTAAGAAATCCTTGAATCATTGATTGTCCTTGTCTTGTCAATGTAAATCAATTAGCTATGAGGATGTCCCCCTTAGGAAGCACTATGTGGAGATTCTTTTATGTTTTCCTTGTAGGTTTTGACAGTTCAAACTGTTCTAGCTTTCAGACATGAAGATTAAAATCACTTGTCACATCCTGCATAAACACAGGTRTCATCGAGTCATCAAGGATTTCACTTTATTTAATATTTACTCGGTCCTATTTGAAAATTTACATTGCTTTGTTTTATTTCAACAAAAAGAAGTGAAACTGTCATTTGGTGTTTGGATGTTCAGGGGTTCAAATATTTTCCACAACCACTGAACATTTGATATTGTGAAGTGCGTAACATGTCAACAGCTATTTAAGAGTATTTCTCTAGTCTTTGTGACAGTATTTATACAGTGGATATGCCAGTGAGCATTACGCTCAATCACCTCATCACTCTTGGCTCTATTTGCGTAGTGTTCATTACGCTGTTTAAACAGGTTTAGGAGACTCACAGCTGTGTCTGGGCAACACTTGATAGCAACTCAGGTTGTGTACTCAGCAGCTRCATGAGTGTGTTTGTGTTGAACTAGTGTGGGGAGGTGGGCAGTACAGACACAGAGAGCTTTGCCCATGTGTTTGCTTTGTGCTCACGAGTGTGTGTGTTCTGTTCCACAGGTTAATATTGACCTGTCCTCATTTTGCCTATTCCCATGAACCCAAGTTTGCACTGTACTCAAGAAACATGTTTTTCTTCTGTGAAGGTTGGTTTTGATCCTCATCCTCACATGCGAGTCCCTGGAATGCCTCCTAGTCTTACAGGAATCCCTGGAGGAAAACCGTAAGTGTGTTTGTGTTGCCATCTACAGTACTACTTTAAAAAAGCAACAACCATCTAATAGTTTTTTTTACAAAGCTTTCTTTTTTCTTCTCTTTTTCTCATCTGAATTACACTCTTATGTTCTGTTTAATTTCTCTTTCTGCCATCAGGGCCTACTCCTTCCACGTTGCAGCAGATGGACAGATGCAGCCAGTTTCTTTCCCCCCAGATGCTCTGGTGGGACCAGGTATCCCTCGTCACGCCCGTCAGATAAACACCCTGAACCATGGGGAGGTGGTGTGTGCCGTCACCATCAGTAACCCCACCCGACACGTTTACACTGGAGGAAAGGGTTGTGTCAAGGTCTGGGATATTAGTCATCCAGGAAACAAGAGCCCCGTGTCTCAGCTTGATTGTCTGGTGAGGACACAGTAAAAAAACAAAAAAAAACATAAAACTTAAAGAAGTCAAAACGTTTTAGACTCGATGTGTAACAGTTTGATACATGAAAGTTTTTTCAGTTTAATAGTAAAAAATATTAAACAAATTAACAGAAAGTCAGTACGGTCATCAGTAACTTTTTTAATGTTTTAACAGAATCGAGATAATTACATCCGCTCCTGTCGTCTCCTCCCTGACGGTCGGACACTTATTGTGGGTGGTGAGGCAAGCACGCTGTCGATCTGGGATTTGGCCACGCCCACTCCCAGAATTAAAGCGGAGCTAACATCGTCAGCACCGGCATGCTACGCTTTGGCCATCAGCCCAGACTCCAAGGTCTGCTTCTCCTGCTGCAGTGATGGAAACATAGCCGTCTGGGATCTACACAACCAGACTCTTGTTCGGTAAGAGATAAGACAGATGTGTTTAATCAACAGGAACAGGCAGCGTGGGAAGTGGACTCATTTTCAGTGTCACTTTTATATATAAATAAGAAAATACAGGCATCAACTATCCCTGCCTTGTCTTTCTGACTTCCTCTAATCACCTGCATGTGTTATCTTAAATATAAAATAAGTTCCAGTCCTGGCCAAATGAACTTTTTATGTTTTTTTTACTGGAACAGCTGCAGCTGATAAGAAATGTTTATTAGCCTGAGATACCTGCTGATGGCTCCCATAACCCAAGGCATATTATTGTGTCTTTGCTTGAACGTCTCTGCGTTTTATTTAACTAAAAACTTGCACGTGTGTTTTACAGACAGTTTCAGGGCCACACAGATGGAGCCAGCTGCATCGACATCTCCAACGATGGAACCAAGCTGTGGACCGGAGGCCTGGATAACACAGTTCGCTCCTGGGATCTGAGGGAGGGGCGGCAGCTGCAGCAGCACGACTTCACATCACAGGTACACGCTCACGCAGGTGTATCAACAGCATCTTAGTTACCAAACTTGAAAAGATAATTGAGTGTGATGGAAATTTAATGATACTTTCTGTCTCTTTCATCCAGATCTTCTCTCTCGGTTACTGTCCGACGGGAGAGTGGCTTGCTGTAGGAATGGAGAGCAGCAACGTTGAGGTTCTTCATGTCACCAAGCCTGACAAATACCAGCTTCATCTGCATGAGAGCTGTGTGCTCTCCCTGCAGTTTGCTTACTGTGGTAAGGACATCGCTCTCTCAGTATCAAGAAATGTGGTGCTTCCCTGATCCATTTTTATCAGAGTCAATTTAATCATCTATAAAATCAGATCCTTTCATTAAAAAAACTAAATCGAACGGGAGAAGGTATAAAAGAACTACTTCTGTAACTGGATGTTTTAGGTCAAAAAAAAAACATTTTTTCCCAACTATATTTCATCTTATAGTTCATGTCTTTCATTCCTCAAAGCATTTTCTTTTTTACTGTCATCAGCATTTTTTTTGAAGATGCATATTTTGTTTTCCCCTGTGATTTCTTATTGAAGTGTATTTATTTATTTATTTATGTGTGTGTGTGTGTGTGTGTGTGTGTGTGTGTGTGTGTGTGTGTGTGTTTCCACACAGGCAAATGGTTTGTGAGTACAGGAAAGGACAACTTATTGAATGCATGGAGAACGCCCTATGGAGCCAGCATTTTCCAGGTTGGGACAATAGATCTCTGCATTCACTCTATAAACTAATAAAATATGTGTCTTATAAAACTGCAGCCCTGAATGTGCTGCTTCAGCTTTAACAGGCCATTTCCACCAGCACTGCATCGCCACATGACTCCTCGCCATAAATCACTGGATCATAAAGAGCCAGGATAATAACTCTGCTGTACAATTTTAGCTTTAATCACATATAAAATATGGACAGATACATATGCAGTGCCTAGGCTCCACTTAAACTGTCGTTCAAACACGTGATGGCTACAGTCTCGTACACATTTCAGAAATGTAAATAGGAAAAGGAGATTATTTCAGCTAACTCGCACACAAAAAGAGCTTTTCCAAGTTTTTTTGTAAACCTTTTCTCTTGTAATTTCCTTTTTTCTTCTTCTCCAGTCTAAAGAATCCTCCTCAGTGCTGAGCTGCGACATATCTATAGATGACAAGTACATCGTTACTGGTTCAGGGGACAAGAAGGCCACTGTTTACGAAGTCATATACTGAAATGATGGAATGAACGCAAATTTTTCTTGAAGTTTTCACTTGGAGCCAGACATCACAGACAAAAGGGATTCTATTGGCACTATTTCTGCCAGGAAGACGACAAACGTGTCATCTGCACATTCATCAGGTCTTGTATCAGCTGGGAATATTACAGAGCAGTTGGACGTTTACGGAGACAGAAAACAAGGACGTTGGTGTCTGCTTCTTTGTGCTGTAGAGCAGTTGAGGTTCAAAGACCAAACAGAWCTCTTTAATGAGAATGGAGTCTTCAAATGATGGTTTAAAGAACTTCAGATGTTAAAACACATAATTGGAACAAACCATCACTATTGGTGAGTATGTACATAAAAAGCAATCAGAAGCAGAGAGCAGAAACATCCAGAACTTTGGAACAAACAATTGACAGATGATGGTTTTATAAATATTATATGTAAATTATGTTTGTATTTTGCTTCAGACAGTGCTCCTGATCTCAGCATGAACATTTTGACCTCAGTTTGCCCTCCAATACACCTACACAATCTGAAAAGTACTGCTTGTGTACAAATAAAACCTCCTACTCTAACTAACCGCACTGTARTGCTAACTCCACCTACACACTGTACTTTAAGACCAGAGTTTAGAACTTCCTAAAGTTTAAATGGACTTGTCYAACGTCATGCCTGTAAAAAGTTAATTTCAGAGGCAGGAAAGTCTCACAGGAACATATGCTTCAAAAAGTGTTTCAAAAAGTGTTGTTAGAAAAGGTTTAATGTGGTTTGTTATGTAAAAAGATCACTTCTTCTAATCCTGATTGAACGAACAATGGGTTGAAAACTGATGTAAGAGTTCCAGAGATTGATTTAATCCTCTAATTTCATTAATGCTCCTGTTTTTAACAGATTATTTTCCCACTCRTTTTGTTTAGGACTAAACACTTTTCATTCCCAGAATATTGATGGATGTTAAAGACATATTTCAGTCCACCTGAGCTGAAAGCATTCAACAAATCTGTGCTGCTGCACTTCATCCACACTCTGCCTTTTTATCTGTGAAACGCTTCATGTCTTATTGTTTGGATGGTTTGGTCATAGAAATTAAATATCATGTAATACGACTTTATGAACTTGTACAAGTGGGAACTCCTAGTGGAGAAAGGGTTAAAAAAAATCGACTCTAAACAAATATTTTTTGTCACAAATTGTCTTGTTTAACCTTGAGCTGGGAGATATGCTAAAATGCCTTTATGTGAAATGTTTTCTTTTTCACAATGCAAAGAATATTGTAAGACTTTATGATTAAATTATTGGGTCAAACTTCAGTTCCAGAGGAAGTGTCAGTGTTGACAGTTTTAACATTAAACTTGTTTTTTTTTCTTTTTGTAAAAATGTAAATTATGTTTCTTTCTTACCAGACATGCTTTAGAAATAAACTGTTTTTGTACATTTCTTACATTTATTCAGGAATAATTTAGTCTTAAAGTAGAAAAACGGTTGAAATGTGCAGAAAATAAACATGTTTTTGTTTTGTACATGGAGTCTTTAACTCTCTGGTATTAAACAATAATAAGGAACTTTTGTCACTTTTCAGACCTGAAACTTGCTCCTTAGCTTTGCTAAAACAAATCTGCATGAAAACATTGAGAGGTACTGTAGTTTATGGACACCTAAATATACATTAAATATTAGCTGAGACTGTTCTTTTATTACACATATATAATTTAATATACTTAATAACCTAGTTTGGATAAACTAGCAAGAAAAAATTACGTTAGATATTTTTTACAAGTTGAATTCATTTTTTCAGTTATTGTTCCACTTTAACAGTGTAGAATAAAACCGTTTCAGCGATCAAAAAAATATAACATTTTTAAAGAAAATTTTAACAAGCTAACTCCATTCATGTTGCATTTACATCATTACTTTTCCTGCTGATAGGTTTACACACAAACACTTTGTTTTCCTTCAGATGGCCACAAATCTACACAAATGTTTTCTGTTAACTGATTTATTTATTACATAACAGCCACTTATAAATCTGTTTTGTGCTTTGTTGTGAAGCTAAGTTGGATTTGGTCTCTTTCAGACTTGGTTTGAGTAGCAAATGTCAAGCGTCTAAAGCTTTTTTTTAAGCTGGTTTTGGTTAAATTCAGACTTCCCTGGAATCACTGTGGTTGCATTTTTTTCTCTCTTAATGTGGCAACTCTGAAAAGCTCAGACCTCCCTCTGTAAACAGCTGACCTTTCTGCAATGTGTTGAAGCACTTTTTGGTGGACGTTAAGCCTCTGAGCTGCTTTGTGTGTGTGCAGATGAAGAATGAAGAGGGTGGGTGGCCCGCGCAACCAACTAAGACTGCAGAGGAGAGAATTTAGCTCTGTGTGTGTGTGTGTGTGTGTAGCTTTTTGGTGTGGGTTTTTCAGGCTGTGTTGTGTTTTTATGAAGGTATTAGATGCACAACACAGCAGCTGTTCAAATCAACCGTGTGTTAAATAACTGAATCCAATCCCCTGCTTAGTCCTAACTCCAACAACAAACAGACTAGCTCCATGTCTTTCCCCTGATGTAAACTGAAAATCAGATTAATTACTATGAATGTATAATTCTGTCTATCCCTGGCTCGCACACACTCACTGACACGCACGCACGCACTCGCGGTGTTGTACAGAATGAGGTGATTATGTGGCAATTACAGCAGTCACACTGACAGAATGAAAACCGATCCTTGGAGGGAAGACCGGGGAAAATGTCACTCCAACATTTTTCTTCTTTTTTTTTTTTTGGTGCACGCAGAGATTTCTGAGCTCTGAATCATAGCGTTCTCTTTTGATCATCACAGCTGCTGCCTCTCTCTGATACACAGACGGATTATTTCCTCTAAATCTCCCAAATCCCTAATCCTATTTATCTCAACGCCACACACACAAAAAAAAGGTGCTCTCTGCCTACTGCTCAGCTTATGTGTACAGTATGGGTTTAAGAATGTCTACTTTTATTTCTGTCTCTGTGAGGAGGATGTTTATGGGGATTTTTTTCTTTATTTTTTCTCTTTTTTTTTATTTAAAGACAGGAGTTTTAATGTAAACTTTGGATTCAAACTTTGACTCTCAGCTACTACCACACCAAATTTTACCTCAATATCTTTAAAACTGACTCTAGACAACTATTGTGTTGGCTGATTTTGATCAGCTGTGGAAAAACCTCTTGAACTGGATTGAATTCAAAATGGAGTCAGCTGTAAATGTATGTCTGATGATTATTTCCYGAAAGTATCATTAAAAGCAGTGGCGGATCTAGGATTTTTMKGAGTAAGGGGCCATCAAGGGGCCACAATATTCATAGAGGTGCCAAGTCTTTGTTCAACATCCTTTCACACAAATTCCCAGTGTATACATTTTACACTTCAAACAATTTTTTATTAAAAAAAGGTACCACTTTACAATAAGGCCCCCCTTATAGATGGCTTTTAAAGAGTTTATAGAAAGGTTATTAAACTGTAAACACTTTAAAAATTATTAATAAGTGTTTATTATGCAATAATTTAGGACGAGAAAGAAACAAAATTGTCCAGTTTAATTTATTAATGATTTATGAAGTGTAAACTTTACAAATGAATTAATAACCTATCTATAAACTCTTTATAAGCCGTCTACACTCTAAAAATGAAATGTTGGATTTACTTAACCATGTTATGTGACCTGGTTCCACTTAACTGAGTTGAGTAAATTCAAAGCAACATGCTCATGTTCTTTGGTTAAAAAACTGGTTTATTGCTTTGAATTTACTCAACTCAGTTAAGTGGAACCAGGTCACATAACATGGTTAAGTAAATTCAACATTTCATTTTTTACAGTGTATAAGGGGAGCTTCATTGTAAAGTTGTACCAAAGCTCTTGCACAGTAAATTCTCCTCACCAGTTTTTCATACATTTTACTGTACATGGATAAAATATTTTCAAACACACAACATGTGAGAAAATCCAGCCATCATTTGTCAGCTGAAAGACTTTTTTGTAGGATTGTTTAGAAGAGAAGAATTCTGTCAGCTCGATTCATTCTGGACTTTACTATTTGACTCATTAGTGCAACTAGTGTTTGAACATTRAACTGCATCCACCATCATCACCCCAGGTAAAGGACAGATGAGTGACAGGACAGAGGCACTTCAGGGGGCCAATCAGATTTCAGCTGAGGCCAATGCCTCTGTGGCCCCGCCCCCTAGAACCGCCCCTGATTAAAAGCCATCCAGTGATTTATGAGGTATTTTGCTAACAGACAACAGAGTTTACACCAAATATTAATGCTGCAGTTTTAAGCAAAGATGAGAATATAGAATGAGCAGCACTTGAAGTATGTTGTGTATGACTCTCAGCTACTACCACAACAAATTTGAACTCATTATTTATAAAACGAAGTGAATTATTGCCCTTTTTTGTGTTTTTTAAGTTCGTTACCGTCTTAATATGGCTTTGCCCAGCAGGATAATCAGCTGTACATGGAAATCCAATGATTATTTTCTTGGATTATATATTGTATTTTAT